TCTCTATATATCACGAGTTTAACAATATATCAAGACTCTCATGGATCGTGTTTATGGTGTTTAGGAGTTGGTTGTGTTTGGCATACATGTACTCAATCTTGTAGATGGTGAAGGTTATATTGGTGTAGTTGGATAATACCATATGTCATATGGTTGTGTATTACCTCTGTAACCGTTTGGTGATCATATACTGAATAGAGCTTACGTGAGTTGCCCCGCAAATGTAGGAGTTACTGTTTCGAACTGCGTAAACAATTGTTGAGTGTCTGGTTCCTTTCATTTACTTTTGTTTATGTTTTTTATTTTTATTTTTATTTTTAAATTTTTGTTTACTGTACCTGATACAATGCATAATCTCGATAAACAAATTGATTAAAAATTGAGTAGGAACGAATTAGGTTATCTTTTCAAGATCCACGGTCTATTTCGATTGGTATCAGATTGTGATATTACAATATTTAATTCTTAATTTTTAGTATGGTTTTATTTAGTTCTATTATGACCATGGTTTTGCTTACAATTTTGATATTTTAACTCTAATTTTTAGAATAATATTCTAATTTTACGACTTTAGTTTTTGTTTTCTATTTAAAAATGAACATAAACCTCATAATAAATAATATAATATAGAAAAAAGTAACTTGTCATAAACCTTATATCAAATATAATTATGATTTATTATATAGTTTATGAACACTTTTCAGCAAGAAGAGGAGACTAAAATTGTATTTTCTCATAAAAAAATTGTATTTTCTCAAAAAATAAAGTTAATTGCATGAAAATTATAAAAATGCACAATAAATATGGTAATATTAATAAAAATCATGCGACTAAATATTATCAAATTAAAAATTAAAGGCTAAATATAACGATATTGTAATAATCATGGGATTAATAGTGAAATTTCCTCTAGTATTTACTTTTCATATACCATTAGTTGGCTCTCTCTTTTTATCAAAGAAATTAATTTATTATTGGAATAAGGGCCAAATAGGCCACCCAACTGCACACCAAAGTGCAATTAGGCCATTGAACTCAAAAAGAATGCAATTAAACCATTGAACAACACAAAAAAATGCAATTTAACCCAAAATGACTTGTTTACATGGTGTAGCAAGTTACCAATTTTAAAATTAAATTTTAAAAATAATTTTTAATAAGTAAATATTTAAAATATTTAAAAAAAGAAAAACAGAAACTGCCGGCCGGAGACGATCCGGCCGCCATTTTCTATTTTTTAATTATTTATTTATTTAAAATTATTTTAAAAAATTAATTTTAAAACTGGTTGCTACTCTAAGTAAATAAGTTATTTTGGGCTAAATTACATGTTTTTGTGTTGTTCATGACTTAATTGCATTCTTTTTTAGTTCAATGGCTTAATTGCACTTTGGTGTGCAGTTGAGCGGCTTATTTGACCCTTATTCCCTTTCTATCCTTTATTATTTAATCCACGAAGACGATTAATTTTTATTTTTTTTAGTCTTCAATTAATAGTTTTTATTAGTATATATTACATCTAAAAATTGTTGTAATTAAAAAACTGTAGTAATATTTTACTCCGTATTTTTGTAGTAGTGGATTCACACACTTGTTCATCTTTGAGTGATTCAAACAGTTCTCACTTCGTTTTTTTTATCGACGCTATGACAAAGTGCGGCCTGTTAATTAATTAAGGGTTAGGGCCAAAATATCTACTAAATATCATTAAGTAATTGCAGGCCAGTATGAAACAGAATTGGGTTCCTTCAAGATGGGCAAGAATAAGGAATCCAATGATAATGGATGAAAAGACAGGCACAGAAATTGGTAATAATTGATATTCTGTAATGAGTTAATTATCAAAATGGTCCCTTGACTATAGTGAAATTACCAATTTGGTTCTTGACTATTTTTTTTAATCAATTAAGCCCCTTAATTTTAAAAATTTTAACCAATTTGGTCCTCCGTTAGTTTGACCGTTAGTCAACGGTTAACTTGGGACCAAATTGGTAATTTTTCTATAGTCAAGGGACCATTTTGGTAATTAACTTTAGGGGTGGGCAATTCGGTTTAGTTTTCTCGAATCGAACCGTATCGAACCGAACCGAAGTAATATACCGAACAACCGAAAGATATTGAATTCTTATATACCGAACGGTTCGGTAAAAAATCCGATCCAATCTGAATTGTTTGGTAAAAAAATTGAACTGAACCGAATACAGTTTGATTTTTTAAAAAAGTATAATAATAATAATAATAATAATAATAAATAAATAAATAAATAAAAAGTAAATCCAAGTCCCTTACTGCTTGCTCTGTCGTTCAGCTCATATTTTCACGGGTATCTCTCGTAAATGTTTTATTTGATTTCTTTTGAACTGAACCGAATACAGTTTGATTTTTTTTAAAAATATAATAATAATAATAATAATAATAATAATAATAATAATAATAATAATAATAATAAATAAATAGATAAAGTAGGTTGAGAAAGTATATGAACAGATACTACAATGTAATAGAGCTAGTAACATTCAAAAAAAAAAAAGAAGATAAAAAGTAAATCCAAGTCTCTTACTGCTTGCTCTGTCGTTCAGCTCATATTTTCACGGGTATCTCTCGTAAATGTTTTATTTGATTTCTTTATGGTTTGTTATCAAAAGTTCTATATTATGTGTTATGATGTTTACATAGTCCATATCCAAAGTCTAATATAAGAATTCAATATCGTTCGGTTGTTTGGTATATTACTTCGGTTTGGTTCGGTACGGTTCGATTTGAGAAATCTAAACCGAATTGTCCACCCCTAAAGTTAATTACCAAAATGGTCCCTTGACTATAGCAAAATTACCAATTTGGTCCCAAGTTAACCGTTCACTAACGGTCAAACTAACGGAGGACCAAATTGGTTAAATTTTTTAAAGTTGAGGGACTTAATTGGTTAAAAAAAAAATAGTCAAGGACTAAATTGGTAATTTCGCTATAGTCAAGGGACCATTTTGGTAATTAATTCTTCTGTAATTATTGAGAAAAGATAAAGATGGTCATTCATAGTTTCATACTGTATAAACATCATGTTTAGAGATATAGAGGGATTGGATCTAACAATCTAATTGATTTTTTAAAAAGAAAATCAACAGGACATATAATAATATAAGAATGAATTGAACCTCAAGATGTCGACTAAAAACTTAGTTATGGATTTGAATAAATTGTGGTGTTTCATAGTTAACCGAGTATTGTTTGATTTAGTTGATAGTTAATAGTTGATTACGGTTGATAGTTAATAGTTGATTGTGTTGCTGTTTTGATTAACTGATAGTTAAAAAATGCTCCAAGTAACTTTATAATTTTCAGCTTATTAGCATTAATAAGTCAATCTCAAAAAGTTATTTACAAAACCTTGATCACTTAGCTTTAACGATTTGACTAAGTGAATGTTATAGTCGTCTCTCTTTGTAGGTCGTTTGAGATGAGAATAAGCAGGTCGGACCGTTCCATTAAAAATAGGGGTATGTCTAATAATTTAATTTGGACTTTCATTGTTTTTGTTCCGAGATAAATCTAAATATAATAAAGTAAACCGCAAAGACAAAGACAATAATAAAGACAAGAACATAGGGAGAGAGAGATATTTTTTTAATATTTAAATTTTACTATAATGATATAGATTTCTATTTATAAAGCTAAGGTAAGAAACATAATCTCAAAAGACCTTTGAAAGATGAAGATAGAAGTCTAGAAGATCTAGAAAATATCTATAACTGAGGTAATTGAGTTCAAATCCATTCGGATTTCAAGTTATTGTATTCTATGACAAAAATAAAAATTTAATTAAAATTTAATTTTTTGTCCAAATATACTGGATAAAAATTTAACAAAAAAAGAATACAATTCAAAGTTAATATAAAAGTGTCATTTTTCATTCATATTTAAATACAAAACTATTCATCAAATTTTGATGTCAATTCCTTTTAAAATTTTATTTCAATTACAATTAAAACTAATCTATGAATTCAAATTAAAAAAAAATTATCAAGTATGAAAAATAATAAATTATATCTAAAATATTTTTTTAAAAAAATAAAAATTAGGGACATGTGAAGTTGCCCTGGCCCGGATGTGTCACTTTTAAACATGATTGATAAGAATCATGCTATATCACTTTACAGGTCATTTGAGAAGAGAATCCATGCTATATCTAATAGTGAGCACATGACACTATATATTGTATTCAACATTTTTTGGTATTGAATTATTACATAACTTTTTTATGAACTCATAGTATATAGGATTGAACAATTTACAGGCAGTTAATGAAAATTGATCAAAAAGGGAAAATAATTAATATCATATATATAGTGAATATTTATTTTTGGTTAGACCACGAGGTGTATTGTTCTTGTATCATACTCAGACTTATCTCAGTTCTCATCAGGCCAACTCAATTAAGAGGCTGGGGGCACAATGCTGGCAATTGGAGTAGTTTTGAATTCTCAACCTTTTTAAGGATGTGGATACACAACCACTAACACTAACCAATTAAGTTAATTATGTAGTGAATATTTGGATAATGCTATAGTGAAAAAAATAATAAAAAATTCTACTAATATCTTTCACCATCTTAATGTGATAATAAAACTATTTTTATTCATTATAGTTACCATAAAGTTAGCTACACCAGCCCAGCAGCCCTAGAAAAGGAATATATTTATATTTTCACATCATATTGTAAAAGATTTTGATGGAAATTCTTTGCCCTCCGCATGATCGGTGAATATTATATATGTAGTGAATATCATATATTTTAGCATTCCAGGCGATTGTATTGAGACTATTCATTAATTAATACCAGTTGGCAGTTGTAAATATTTGTAATACATTACTTACAAATTACAATTTCCAAAACTCTAAAAAAAAAAAAAAAAAAAAAAAAAAAAAAAAAAGACTTGAGGTTAGATTCGGTCTTGCACACACTGTACTGATTGTCTATAAAGGAGGAAGTAAATACTTTAGGTTAAATCAACCCAAAAAAAACTATAAACTTACTCCCTTGTATCAAGCTTTCATCAATGGCGGCACGGTACGGTTTTGGTGGAAAAGCAAGTGTTAATGAAGATGACATGAAGGGCCGATATGTTTTTGGTGGCGGCTATAAAGGTAAAGGACGTAATAACCTCAGGGACACCCTGGATAAGTTCGGAAAAGTTAAGGATTTCTTGAACCACGATGACACAGAGATGGTAGTGCCAACGAATCTGAGCCGTCCAGGTCCCAACATGGCCACTCGCCCTAGTTGGCCAAAACTTACCAACTTTGGGCAGATGATGATGGTGACGAAGAAAGAAGATGATGATGATGATGAGAAGGGAAATCAAGAAAGTTTTACACCTGCAGATAAAGCAGCAGAGGATTCCTCAAAGAAACGACCAAACAATAAATTTTGTCTGCAGGATCAAGGCGATGTTGACTCCATCATCGTACCAAACATTAATCTCGGATCAAACCCATATCCAAACAACAATGTGATCAAGCCAACAAATTACAGAGGCACAGCCATGGATCCTCCCAAGGATGACAAACTATCCTATGGGGTCAACAACACTTCCTCCAACAAGGCTCCACCTTGTAGTGTGAACTTTGGGCCAAAACAACATTCAGATTATGTGTCTGACAGCAGAGGTCAGAGTCCACCTTGTACTGTGGACGTTGGGTCAAAACAATATTCAGATGATGTGCCTGACGGCAGAGGTCAGAGTCTACCTTGTACTGTAGACCTTGGGTCAAAACAACATTCAGATGATGTGTTTAACGGCAGAGGTCAGGGTCCGCCTTATACTGTAAATTTTGGTCCAAAACAACATTCAGATGGTGTGTTTAAAGGCAAAAGTCAAGGTCCACCTTATACTGTAAATTTGGGTCCAAAACAACATTCAGATAATGTGTTTAAAGGCAGAGGTCAGGGTCCACCTTATACTGTAAATTTGGGTCTAAAACAACATTCAGATGATGTGTTTAACGGTCGAGGTCAGGATCCACCTTATACTGTAAATTTTGATCCAAAACAACATTCAGATTATGTGTCTGACTGCATAGGTCAGATCAAGAAACAAAACATGGAAATGGCAGGGTGGGTTACCAACAAGCCAAATATCAGCAACGGGTGGCAAGATTATTATTCCTATGAGGATGCCCCACTGAAGCCTCAAGGAAGGTACATTTACAATAATAGGGCGCAGCGGTGGAAAGAAATTACCCCTAATCCTCCACCACAACTGCGACTGCGATACGGCGGCGCGTATCCGAATTTGCGACCTGCGTACCGTAGACCGGTAATTGATAGCAACTGGGCAGAGAAGAAGTACAACGGCGTGTTGCTGACTGATAATTAAGAAAAATGTCTTTTAACGGGTTGTATTTTAAAAGTAGATGTTATATATATATATATATATATATATATATATATATATATATATATATATATATATATATATATGAGTTGTTGAAGTATGTAAAATAGCATATACAATTATATACATATAAACTTATAAAGGCTGTCTCTACAATAATGACTATATGAACCTATAGTAATTATTTTATTAACTTGTGGTAGTTATTTAATGACTTATAATAATGGTTTTATAAACCTTAAAACTTTACGAACTTGGATTGGTAACTTTATAAACTTGTAGTGACCTAGTAATTTTAATATTATACAATAATAGTTTTATGAATCTACAATATTAATATAATTTTATGAATATGTAGTTGTTACTTTATTAACCTAGCTATAGTAGTGATTTTATATACCTATATAGAAAAATAAATATCAATGGGAGGTGTTATTTAAAATCTCTTAATTAGAGTTTTGATGGTATATTATAATATACGGAGTACTAATTTCATTTTCATAAAAATATTAAATTAAGTTAAAAACGATGAAAGATAAAAATTAGGGATGATTTGGGTTCATGTTACTACATGCACATTGATTCATGATATAACCATTGGAGAAACTTCTAATCATATGACTCATATACAAGCACTAAATTGTAAAATATGCCCTAACCCCTAACAAAATAATTTACCAAAATTATAAGCATTGAATTTGACAAAATTGATGGCTGGTAAGTGGTATGAGTGCACCTTTTTTCATATATGTGAAACAAATCAAATGTGAAATGGCGCTTAAGTACGAATTGAACCTGCGATTAATCTTAGTCCTCCGGCCATTTTGGTAGGAAAATTTTCAGTAGTTCATAAGAAGACAGATAAGATTTCACATATTTAAAAATCCTGGAACCTGAAATAATTGGTATTTAATACGGAGTATGTTATATGTGTCATTAACTTATAGTTTAAAATTAGATTGTAGGACAACATCAGCCGAGTTGGTCCTGCAATTATCTTTATAATCTTAAAGTTTTAAGTTTGACTTTCTATGAAATATAATGTACTATATATGTACACATATAAGTTAATTTATTTGTTATCAACAAATATTAATTAAACAACAAATTTACCTAACAATTTTATATCCAAATGTGAATGGAACTTTAAAAGAACAGAGAAAGTGATAACTGAGCAGGGTTAATTATTGAGATTTTGTGTTATTTTAAAGGAATGAGTTTCAAATTGGCCACTGAACGTAACCTAAAAATGCAATTAGATAACTGAATGAAAAAAAATGTAATTAGGCTACTAGTCCAACAGATTTCCATTATTCTTAATGGGTCAACACCTCGTCCATAAAGATGGACACCCCACTTGGACAATTGGGCCAAGACTTTCCCAATTAAATATATCCCCCCTATGGTCCCGGATAGTTATGCTGTGCATCCGTATGCACCATGCATGGTGCATACGAATGCCAAAACGACGTTGTTTTATTAAAAAACGCGCGTCTCCCTTTTTTAAAAAATCCAGGTTCGATTCCCAGCAACAACATTATATTGTTTATTCATTCTGAAATTTTAGTTCATAGATTATGGAATTATAGTTCATTGCTTATGGAATTATAGTTCATCGATTCTGGAATTGTAGTTCATCGATTCTGAAATGTTAGTTCATAGATTATGGAATTTTAGTTCATTCATTCTGAAATTTTTAGTTCATCGATTATGGAATTATAGTTCATCGATTATGGAATTATAGTTCATCGATTCAGAAATTTTAGTTCATATGTTGTTGTTGGGAATCAAACCTGATTTTTTTAAAGGGGAGACGCGCGTTTTATTAAAACGACGTCGTTTTTGCATCCGTATGCACCATGCATGGTGCATACGGATGCCCAGCATAATTTGCCTATGGTCCCATATCGCCATCAATAGTAATAATAATAGTAATAATAATAATAATAATAATAATAATAATAATAATAATAATAATAATAATAGTGATAATAATAATAGTAATAATAATAATAGTAATAATAACAACAACAACAACAACAACAACAACAACAACAACAACAATAATAATAATAATAATAATAATAATAATAATAATAATAATAATAATAATAATAATAATAATAATAATAATAATAATAATTCAAAGTCTAAATCATATGTGTGATTTTGACACTATTGCAATGAACAAAATAACTATAACCAATATATGCAAATTAGAGGTCAAGATACTATACACTAAAAAATTCATAAACTTTCTCACATTTAAATGTGAGTTAATTACTGAAATAATTCCTTAACTATAATGAAATTACCGAATTAGTCTTAGATTATTTTTTTGTGATTAATTAAGTTAGTGGTGTGATGTTCCTCCCTTTTTGAACTCTTTATTGGTCTAATATATTTGCTCTGTTTCGTTCAAAAAAAAAAGTCGACGTGGATAATATGAGGTTAATGTAATAAGAAATAACTTGGGTGGGATTATTTATAGATGTGGGGTGGGGATAATACATAAAATGATGAAATATTTGTCCTGCAAATGTTAAGATATTTCTATTCCCAAGGGAAGAGAAATATCAGAAATAATAAGCTGCTGTGCGCGTTTCGCGCACAACAGCCAGCCACACGGGCCCGTCAGGCGCGCCTTGACCATGTTATTTTTTTAAATTAATTTTGTTTTGTTTTTGTTTTTTTTTGTTTTTCTCCCATTCCCACATTCTCTTTCCTAATCACTCTTACATTATCCTCCATTCTCCCCAACCATTGTGAATGTTCTAAGAATCCCAATATTATAATGACACATTGACACTTGAACGTAACTATTTTTTAGTACACTAATCTCCTCGCTGAATGGTAGGCATTTCCATTTTTAAAATCAATGATTAAACCTTTGACCTTTAGTTAAGGATGGATGAGTCTACACCCTCCAGGTTACTTCATCCTAACTGTGCAGCTAAATAATTCACGCATAGCCAGCTTTAAATAGAGAAGTAGTGTCATATCTTTACCAGCATCATATCATCCAAAGAAGAGAGAAAGCAATAAGTTTCTTAAAGAAGAAATACTATACATTTCTGGGCTATTGAATTGATTGATCAATGGCGGCTTTGTCCGATAATGGCAAAGTGGTTAAACATTTCTTGAATGAAGGTCCGTTTGAGGCCAGTATGCCAGCTGCTCCGGTTCTTAGCCGTCCAGCTCACTACTCGGATGCTTCGACATACGGCGATGAATCTCCTATTAGGTACAGTGCTCAACGTTTTAAGCTAAAGTACGGCCCTAACGATGGTACTATGTCTACTTACAGAAGCTATGATGATTCCCCTCCAAGCTACTATGGAGCTCTAAGTAAACAAGACGTGGAGTACGGTGGAGCTGAAGGCGAATCTCTTCCTGAATATGGAGCTCTGCGTATTGAAGACTACGCTGTGAAGAAGTACGGTGGCACCTTACTCCCTAACGATGGAGCTATAGGCAGATTTCCTCCTGAATATCGAGCTCCGGGTAGTGAAGACGTCTACCGTAATGAAGGTATCAGCGAACAGAATGAGCAGAGAGATGAAATGTCATGTGGAAAGCTTGTGATTGGAAGTTGGAAGGGAAAAGTGAGAGCTGTATTTCATAACTGACTAACTGCAGTCCAAGAAGTTTATACAGTGTATATAAAGGAGAAATAAGAGGCGGTTATACGGTTATGCTAGGCAGATTACTAGTAGATACAGATTACATAGATGACCCTTATATATTGTTGCTTGATACCCCCCCGTAAGCTGGAGCGTGCACATCTTGTATGCCCAGCTTAGACCTGAAGATATGGAACTGAGTAACCGGGAGGGGCTTAGTGAAACCGTCTGCTACTTGGTTGGAGGACGTCACTGACAGTAGCTTGATGAGTCCTTGATTCAATTTCTCCCTAACAATGTGACAGCCGATGTCGATGTGTTTGGTGCGTTCGTGGAACACATGGTTCTCGGCGATGGCCATTGCGGACTTGCTATCACAGTACATGATTGCCGGTGTATCTATTGTAACATGGAAGTCTCGAAGGAGGGTAGTGAGCCATTGTACTTCACAGACCGTGGCTGCCATGGCACGGTATTCGGCCTCGGAGGATGATCTTGATACTGTTGCTTGCTTTTTAGCTCTCCACGAAATTAGAGATGAGCCAAGGAATATACAGTAGCCTGTTATGGACCTTCGTGTCTCGCTGCAAGATGCCCAATCCGAGTCTGAAAAGACTTTGAGCTTCAAATCTGTGTTTGATGGATAAAATAATCCTTGTCCAGGGGCATTCTTTATATATCGGAGTACTCGATGGGCAGCTGCTAAGTGTTGATCTTTAGGAGCATCCACAAATTGACTTAATTGTTGGATGGCATATGATATGTCCGGCCTTGTAGCTGTCAAATATAGTAGCTTGCCCATCAATCTTCTGTAGCTACTGGGATCGGCAAGGGGTGTTCCATCATTATTCAACTTCAGGTTTGGCATCATTGGTGTGTTTGCAGGTTTACATCCAAGAAACCCGGCCTCCTCCAATATTTCTAGTGCATACTTCCTTTGGCACAGATTGAGTCCCTTGTTGGATGTTTTTGCCTCAATTCCCAGAAAGTATCCAAGAACTCCCAGGTCCTTAATTTTGAATGTATCATCCAGGAAGCATTTCAGGTCTTGTATAAGCTTCATATTTGCACTGGTGACTAGGATATCGTCCACGTAGACAAGTAAGGCGATGAAGTTAGCACCATTGCCCTTAGTGAATAGGGAAGGATCGGATTTTGACTGAACAAATCCGATGTTGTATAGGGCTGCACTTAGCTTTGCGTTCCATTGTCTACTCGCCTGTTTAAGGCCATACAGAGATCTTAGCAACCGGCAGACTTTGTGAGGATTAGCATTCTGAAATTCGGGGGGTATTTCTATAAAAACTTCTTCATTAAGATCTCCGTGAAGGAACGCATTGTTAATGTCCATCTGATGAATGTGCCAAGACTTAGATACTGCAGTTGCGAGGAAGGTGCGAATGGTTGTGATTCTGGCTACTGGAGAAAAAGTCTCCAAATAGTCTATACCAAGCTGTTGATTGTAGCCTTTCGCAACTAACCTCGCTTTGTGTCGTTCGATGGTGCCATCTGCCTTCAGCTTGGTTTTGTAGACCCATTTACATCCTATAGGATGTTTGCCAGGAGGGAGGTCTGTCAACTCCCATGTCTGATTTTTCTGGAGTGCTTCTAACTCTGCATCCATGGCTTCTCTCCAGCATTTGTGTTTGGCAGCTTGTGAATATGTTTTCGGTTCACTGATGGCAGTAACGGCCATTGAAAACACTCCGTGTGTTGGCTCAAGAAAGTCATATGAGACGACTTTGGATAATAGATGAGGAGTGGTTCCATTCATGGAGGCAGACTCACAATAATAATCTTGCAGGTGGCGTGTCCTGGTGGATTTTCTGGTTGGCATGGGAGAAACAGAGGGGCTTGTGTTTCTATTTGTGGTGCTGCTGTCATCAGTGGGGGAATCATTCAATGTTAGACTGTCATTGCACATTGGACCATGTACTTCCTCCCTAGTAGGACTGTTATTGCATGCTGGTTCATGCATTCTTCTGTCCAGTGATTCATCATGGTTATTATCCACTGGTTTTGGAAGGAGTCTGTTGTCCATGTGAGACTCCCTTATCACCATCGGATTGTTGCTCATTTGGGGCTGGTTATATCCAGGTTGTTGAAAGTCAAAGACTTCATGACTGTGAGTAGGAATTACCGGCAGAGATGGACCGGTTGGAGATGAGGCATTATCAACACTCGGGTGCTCTTTATCTGCATAAGGGAATTGCCCTTCATAGAAAGCAACATCACGTGAAATAAAAATGGAATTGTCATGCAAATCATATAGGAGATAGCCCTTTATATTGGCAGGCATTCCAATGAGGATACATTTTCTGCTCCTATGAGCCATTTTGTGTCTGGATACGGATGAGGTGGAGGCATAGCATAAACAACCAAAGACTTTGATAATGTTGAGATCTGGTTCCTTGTCATAGAGTCTTCTATAAGGATTTGACCATCCTATAACCGGGGATGGAAGGCGGTTGATAAGATAAACGGCATGCAAGATACATTGCCCCCAAAACTCCAATGGAAGATTGGCTTGGAACCTTAGAGCCCTCGCCACATTCAAGATGTGTTGATGTTTGCGCTCCACCACCGCATTTTGTTGTGGAGTGTTGACACATCTCTTTTGATGTATTATCCCATGTTTGACGAAGAAATCCTTCATATTGAATTCCAATCCGTTATCACTACGGATGATCTTGATTAATAGGCCAAATTGTGTATGAATCAGCTTCTGGAAGGCCTTGATTAAATTTTGTGTCTCGGATTTATTCTTCATCAAGTAAACCCATGTAAAACGAGAATAATCGTCAACAATTGTCAGAAAATATCTTTCCCCTTTCAAAGATTGAACTGCAAAGGGTCCCCAGATGTCAACATGAATCAACTCAAAACAAGTCTTTGACATAGTGCTGCTTACAGGAAAAGGGGATTTCTTATGCTTTGCAAAGTGACAAATATCACATGCTACTTTCTTGGAATGGGAAACACTAATATCAGCAAGTAAATGCATTTTATTGAAAGGAAAATGTCCTAATCTTTTATGCCATACTTCATTACTACATGACATGATATATCGATCTTGGACAGAAATCTGTACTTCAGGTGCCTCAGTGAGCAGATATAGGCCACTCCCTTCCTTAGCAAAACCAATCGGCTTCCCATGGTTGCTTCGAAGAAGACACTGATGAGAGTTAAAAATCAGTTCATATGATGATTCTTGAAGCAGCTGACTAACAGAAATGATATTAAAGTTGAAGGAAGGTATGTGCAGAACATTTTCCAGATTTAGATCATTCCTTAGTTTTATATGCCCTTCATGCATGACTTCTGCTTGCTTTCCATCAAGCAGATTGACTTTTGTTCCTTTAACAGGATAGTATGTTTCAAAGAAATCCAGAGAACATACTATGTGATTAGTAGCTCCGGAATCCAAGATCCAAGAAGAATGTTGTAAATGAATAGAATTAACAACATTATAGTAAGCAGACTTGCCTTCATCAGGTGATGATTTTGTGAGAGTAACGGCAGCTGAAGTTGGATGATTCTGTCCTATTTGGACCTGTAGAAGGGAGATAAGTTTCTGAAGCTGTTCGTTGGTGTTAGGCTCATTGAGGGTAGAGACCGCCGCCGTGGCTTGCTGTTTGCCCCTTGATTTGAATCCCGGTACCCAGCCGGGGGGGGGGGGGGGGTAACCGTGCTTTTTGTAGCACTTCTCAATTGTGTGCCCCGTCATACCGCAATAGGTACATTTTGCAGACTTGTTCCCAGTTCCAAAGCCATTATTCCTTCGATTACTGTTGTATCCAACAGCAGCCACCACTTCCTGATCATCTGTAGGATTAGTTTGGACGGCGTTAGCATGATTTACCTCAATATGGCCTAGGCTCAGACTCTCGATCTTCAATTGTCTCTCAAATTTCTCTGCCATAACCAATACTTTGTGCAGGTCAGGCATAGGATCCAGAACTAAGATTCCGGACTTCAGTGAGTTGTATTCTTCATTCAATCCTTGCAAGAACCTGATGATCTGATCGACCTCCTTCTCGTTCCTGATTTCATCAAATGCGTTACATGAGCATTGAGGAACACATCTACAGATCGGCAATGGCCTGAGCTCGTTCATCTGTTCCCATAGAATCCGGCAGCGTGTGTAATAGTCGTTAACCGACATGTCTCCTTGCCTCAGATTTTGGATCTCCATGTGCAGAGATGAGATCCGATGTGCGTCTCGCTGAGAGAAGCGTTTCTTCAGATCATTCCACACTTCTCTCGCGTTTTGGATGTGCATCACACTCTGCGCGATTGAAGGATGAACGGCTTTGTAGATCCACGCACATATCATGAGATTGCACCTCCTCCAAGCTGGATACTGCGCATGATTTCTGTCCGGTGCGACTGTGGTGCCTTCTACAATGGCCCACTTGTTCTTTACTTCCAACGCAACTCTCATGGATACACTCCAAGTTCCATAGTTGGCGCTGCCTGTGAGGGGAGGGCTGACGAGTACAGCGTTGGTGTTTTCATTGCTATTCAGAAACAGAGGGTTGTCTATGTCCTCCGATCTGTTGCTCCGCTGCGGAGTCAAAGTTCTCTGGAGGTTGTTGCTCGGCGTGGAGCGATTGGGTGATCGGTTGGCCGGCGGTGTTGACGGATGCGTCCTTTGGCCGGAATCTCCTGTGCTAGACATGACGACGGCTGCGTAGCTGCTTCTTCCACGCTCTGATACCATATCAGCGAACAGAATGAGCAGAGAGATGAAATGTCATGTGGAAAGCTTGTGATTGGAAGTTGGAAGGGAAAAGTGAGAGCTGTATTTCATAACTGACTAACTGCAGTCCAAGAAGTTTATACAGTGTATATAAAGGAGAAATAAGAGGCGGTTATACGGTTATGCTAGGCAGATTACTAGTAGATACAGATTACATAGATGACCCTTATATATTGTTGCTTGATAGAAGGCTTTCAATTCTTAAGATGGCTGGTCTGGCGGTGTGGTCATAACTTGGATGATGAATAGACTTGTATAGATTTTAAAAATTTAATGATTCAAATGAAGAAACTCTGAAGGATTACTTCTACTTCAACGATTCGAGAGTTTTACATAGCGGGAATTAATTATATCCTTGTTAGTTTGTTTACATGTATTTGTTCTTGAAAAATTAAGTTTCTGTGAATGTTATACAATATGTAAACACAATAATTTAAAGGAATAGAGAAGGATTTTTACAGTGGTTCGGCCAACTCAATGTACTTCAATTCACTCTTCTCCTTAAAATTCTTAGGGAGGATTGCACTATTCTGGCCTTTACTACAATAAGGACATTCAAGCCTTGAACACAAAGTCGGCCTTGAACTCCACATGTTTTTCAACTCAACCGAGTTTACTTCACCTCTTTTCACTTCTATCAAGTAGAGAAACAAAGGGGTTGAAGAAAAGGATTCTTCAATCTCCAACTAATAGCTTGACTTGGTTGAATATGGATATGAGCTTTCTTCGCACAAGTCTCTTGAATTTCGATATGAACTTTAAGTTTTCTCTCTCATTGGTCTTGCTTGATAGTTAGTTTTTTACACTTTGAGCACTTAGAAAATTTTGAATAGACAACACCTTCTTTTAGTCTTGGAAGATGATATTATAGGAGTTTTGGAAATGTGTCCGTTAGAGGGAAACCCATTTCAATTGTTTACTAACCGACATGTAAAGACCAGCCAACTTTGGACCAACAATTATGCCATGAACTTGGGTCCACTTTGCAATGTGGACCTGGGTTCAAAATACACAATTTATATATTGAATGTTCACAATTTACATACTGAATGTTTACAATTTGAATTCTGAACATTCAGTATGTAAATTGTGAACATTTAGTATATAAAATTGTGAACATTAAGTATGTAAATTGTGAACATTCAGTATATAAAAATATGAGCATCCAGTATGTAAATTGTGAACATTCAACATATAAAATTGTGTATTTTTTTTAACTTAGGTCCACCTTGCAAGGTAGACTCGGGTTCACAGAATAATTTGCAACTTTCAATTGTTATACCATGGACTAGGGTCCACCTTATAGTGTGGACCTTGGATAAAAAAAACATTCTGATTATGTGTTAGACGACTTTGTACTATAAATTTTGGTTCAAAATAACAAGTCTGATAGCATAGGTCAGATCATGAAATAAAACATGGAAATGTGGACCTTGAGATGGTTACCAAGAGCCTAACACCTTTGTAAAGAACACTTGATCTAGTCTCCCATGAATTAAAGTAGAACAAAAATACCATCAATTTAAACAAGAATATCCACACGAAAATGATAGATAAAGATAAGTACTTAAAGCAAATTGAAAAGCAACAATGTTGTTATTCAATAAGCTAAGGCTGCTAAGCCAAAAGATCCGAAAATAACACAAGTTTAGACTAAGTATAGGCATACTCATGCCTCTCTAATTCTATCCTAGTTAGAAATAACTAATTTTCGCTAATTAAAATAAAAACAATTCAAACAGCTCAGAGTTTTCAAATTCTTTTTTATGATAATCAAACAAAGGAGTTGTGATAGGTTCTATTTACAACCTCTATTTGACCATATATATGTTTGTGGGTGACAAGAGGTAAAAAATACGAAGTAGCAATTTAGTTCCAAGCTAGCTTGCCCCACAAAACTCTCCTAAATTGACTAAAAATTTTATTGCCCGTCACTAACAATAGTTCGTGGCATACAATGAAACCGGCCTAACAATCTCTCTAAAGAATAAATTGGCCACATGCAAACATAATTCAGTTTCTTCTTCTAAAAGGTTGAACCCCAACCCTAAGGGCCCCTCACACCCCGGCTCAACAGAGCACATAATTCAATTTCTTGTTTATTCATGATGTCGCTATTTTGTTCAATCTCTAATTTAATTTGATATTAATTTAAGTGATACTTTTGGTCCTATAGATATAAAAGAAGTATAAAAATTTATAAATCTGATGCCCATTTAAATTCAATTACTTTTCTACTAATCATGGATGGTATATGTCTTATCAATTAGGAGGTGTTTGGTTAGAGGAAGGAAATGAATTGCAATTCGGTAGGAAAAGAATAAATTAGGAATTTAAATTAAATTGTTTGGTGATGAGAAATATAATTATTGGGAATGGAAAGTAAAAAAGTGGTATAAAGACTAAAATGTCATTGTGTAATAACAATGATAATAACAATTAGCAATTATACTTTTGTCGTTTCTTCTATTTTTTCCTTCCCCATAAGCATTGAATTGCAATTCATGGGGATACCCCATAAATTTCAATTCAACCAAAAGAGAGAATTGCAATTTCTTCCAACCAAACATGTAATTGAGGCCTTCATTGAATTATAATTCAATTACAAGTTACAACTAGGTGAGAGCTTGCTATTCTCGTAGCATAATTACGAAGAATTAATTATATTTCTAGAATTAGTAGGATAATTAGGATAGTACAACTTAATTAGTGGGAGAGTAATATTGTGTTTAATTTAACTAGGGAAACTATGTATGATTATTACCTTGTATAGTTAGTACTTAGTATAGTTTTGGTAGGTTAATTATTATAGGTATTAGTAAATTACTATAAATAAGTCCATTGTATATGAAGATGAGAAGCAGAGAAATATATTGTTATTGTGGTCTTTTAGCTATTCTTCTTGGAGTCCTCACACACTCGAAGTGTGAAAATTGGAGTTTGCCGTGATTCGAATACGATTAGGAGGCAGAAGTCTGTTTGAAAGATTTCTTCCGTTGCGTACTAAATTTCGATACCTAACATATTCATAGTAATTATATATTAGCTCTATCTTATACTACAAGTGATTCTCAGCAACTCTATTCTTCTTTTTCGTTAGCATATCACAAAGAGTCAGCTAGCTAAGATAAATATCGATAATTAAATAAAATTGATTCCAGGCATATGTATAAGAGAAGAATTTGGTTCCTTCAAGATAGGAAAAACATATATAAAGTAAGAATCCCAATATAAAACAAGAAAATTAAATGACCATCCATCTTGCCCTATACTAGCCAGCTTTAAATAGAGAAGTAGTGTCATATCTTAACCAGCATCATTTCATCCAAACAAGACAGAAAGCAATAAGTTTCTTAAAGAAGAAATACTATACATTTCTGGGCTATTGATCTGATTGATCAATGGCTGTGTGGAGTAATGGCAAAGTGGTTAAAGATTTGTTGAATGACGACTCTCCGGTTCTTAGCCGTCCTTCAACAAGCCGCAATGGATCTCTTCTTAAATATGGAGCTCTGAATAGTAAAGACTACGAAAACGCTGTGAACAAGTACGGTGACACCTTGCTCCAGGTTGCTTCAACAAGCCGCGCGCTCGATAAATTGCGTAGTAAAGACGATGTGGAGGACGGGCTGTTAAGATGGCTGGTCCCGGCGGGTAGGGGTTTTAAGTTTTGGCTGTGTATAGGGGATCGATGAATAGACTTATACAGATTTTAAAAATTTAACGATTCAAATGAATAAGTTCCGAATGCATGGTTACTTCTACTTTAATGATTCGAGAGTTTTACATACGGGAAATTAATTATATCATTGTTAGTTTGTTTACACGTATCTATTCTTGAAAAATTAAGTTTGCATGAATATTATGGAGTATGTAAAAACAGTAATTTAAAGAGATAGATTATTTATAGTGGTTCCGCCAACTCAATTTCACTCTTTTCCTTAAAATGCTTAGAGAAGATTGCACTATTCCTTTAGTACAAACATTAAGGCCGTCCAAGCCTTGAACTCCATAGATATTTTCAACTCAATCGAGTTTATTCCGCATCTTTCTACTTAGCTTTCATCATACAAATGGATTGAAGAAAAGGATTCTTCAATCTCCAACTAACAACTTAACTTGGTTGATCAATTTGGATATGAGCTTTCTTCGCAGTACAAGTCTCTTGAATTTGGATAGAAACTTTAAGCTTTCTCTCTCACTGGTCTTACTTGATATATAGTTTGTTTTTTTACACTTTGAACACTTAGAAAATTTTGAATTGACCAGCACTACATTCTTTAGTCTTGGAATATGGTATTTATAGGCGTTTTAGAAATGTGTCGTTGGAGGGAAACCCATTTCAAACGTTTACTAACAAGCGTGTAAAGACCAGCCAACTTTGGACAAACAGTTATGCCATGGACATGGCTCCACCTTGCAATGTAGATTCGGGTCTAAAATACACAATTTATAAACTGAATGTTCACAATTTACATACTGATCAGATGTGAACATTCAGTATGTAAATTGTGAACATTTAGCATATAAAATTATGAACATTCAATATGTGAGTTGTGAACATTCAGTATATAAATTGCGTAATTTTGGACCTGCGTCCACTTTGCAATGTAGACTCGGGTCCACAGAATAATTTGCCACTTTCAATTGTTATACGTACCATGGAGCAAGGTCTACTTTATAGTGTGGACCATCAATAAAAAAACATTCATACCATGTCTTTGACGGTAGAGGCCAAGGTCCACTTTGTACCGTAAATTTTGGTTCAAAATAGCATAGGGCAGATCATGAAACAAAACATGGAAATGGCAGCTGGGTTAAACAGCAAAACAAGTATCACACAGGACTCACCCACCACCCATGCATAGAACAAATGGTTTTCCAAATAGTAATTGGCAGTATCAAGATGATATATGAACCGAAGAAGAATAACATAAGGCCAACTCCAAGGACAGATTATTATTACTATGATGCCTCACTGCAGCCTCAAGGAAGGTACAATTACAATAATAGGGCGCAACGGTGAAAAGAAATTATGTGGAAACGTGTTTACCATACGCATATTAAATTTACAAGTATGTGGATTTTGATTCATCTAATGTATTTAGAATAAAAATATTTCTTTGCTTAATATTCAGCATCTGACCGCATAGCGCAGTGGATTAGCGCGTCTGACTTCGGATCAGAAGGTCGTGGGTTCGACTCCCACTGTGGTCGTATCTGCTTTCCAATTTCGTAGTTTAACAGTTAACACCAACGCCATACGCAAATTACGCTTTTACCCACAATACAGGTCGTGGCGTTTCTTTATTTCATAGTTCAACACCAACGCCTAATCCAAATTACGCTTTTACCCACCATACATGTGAGGTCAAAGTACCTATGAGATCCCTGTACTGTAACGTTTTGTTCAATTTAGTCCTTCTACCTTAATTTTGTTCAATTTAGTCCCTGTACTTTAAAAAGTGAAACGATTAAGGACAATAATTGATATTTATGTATTTATTTTGGACATATTATGTAATATATTGGTGGTAAAAATAAGTAATTTTAAATATTTATAAAATAATATATGAGTTGGCATGTAAGTATGATAATGTGACAGATAAGATGTCAACGCCATATCAACGATTGTCCTTAATTGTTTCACATTTTAAAGTACAAGGACTAAATTAAACAAAATTAAGGTAGAAGGACTAAATTGAACAAAAGACTGTAGTACAGGGACCTCATAAGTACTTTGACCTACATGTGATAAAAAAGATTAATTTAACTCGGTAATTCCTTTTTTTTAATTTTATTTTAAGAAAATCTCGGTAATTCCTTAAAATTACATTTTGTTTTGAAATATTTTTCTACAACTAAATCACAAAACATATTTTGCACATTGGCAAAGTAACATTGCTCAAAAAAAATAATTCAGCATTTGATTAAATAATTTAGCAACATATTTTAGTATACTTCAATTGGCAATTCATCCATTTAAGTATATTGAACCTCAATTTGTCTAACAACACTAAATCAATTCATAAATAAATTAGAAAATATATTATCTAATAAATTAATCAACTTTAATAAATAATTTATTTACAAAATATATTCACACACGTATTGTTCGATATAATATTAGACCGATGCTCGGTCTCAACAAAAAGTTTAAGCTGATAGTTGGATTGCACGTTAATGGCTATATGCTCACACGCCCCCTCACGTGTGTGCGGTGGGTTCCAAGCAACACGTGGACCGATAAACCGTCTGGCTCTGATACCAAATTGAAGCACGTGCTCCATCTCAACTAAAAGCTTAAGCTGGTAGTTGAATTGCACGTTAATGGCTATATGCTCACAAAGGGAGTTCGACAACAAGCCTTAGAGTAGGCCCAAGGTTAGCCGACCTGAGTTGGTGAGGTTGGACCGGCAAAGTAAGGAAGTCAAGTTGCGCATCATGCAATTGTGACATTATTATCTCATAAATAAATTATTTATAAAACGGGTCGGGTTAAAATGAAATGTAATACTTAGCTTATATTAAAAAATGTAATATTTCTTTATAATAAATTATATTATTTGTTACTTATAAGGGAAAGTGTAATGCGTTTGAAAAAAAAATTATTATACTTTTAAATCAAATTGTAATATTTAAGGGTAAAATAATTATTATGAGAAAAAACTTTAATATTAATTATTGATAAATTGATTGACTATTTTTTTTTGAAAGTCAATTGCTTGACTATTACTTATGAGGTAAAGTGTAATATTTATGAGGAAAATGCAATACTTTTAATGAAAAAATATAATACATTTGAATTAAAATGTAATATTATTAAGAGTTGAAAAATTATTTATGAAGAAAATTGTAATACTTATGAGGAAAATCGCAATACTTATGAATAAAAATAATGTAATACTTCTGAGAACTTAGATCCGCCCATCTCACAAATTCTCATTTGGAAATTTTTCCAAGAATAATTATTAATTAAATTAATTATTTTTTTTTTGAATGCTACTGGCTCTATTACATTGTAGTATCTGTTCATATACTTTCTCAACATACTAAAACACAAAGAACCAATAACGCCTCCACTGAGGCTCGAACTCACAACCTTCCAAATGGAAGTCCAACCCAGTTATTAATTATTAATTATGCTATTTGTTGATGTTAATCTGAAGTTGGAATACTATGGATAACTTGTTGGAGCAGAACGGGACAAATTCAGACTTAGCTCTTATGCTACAAGTGATTCTCAACCACTTTATTCTTCTTTTTGAAGGGCCTATCAGAAAGAGCCAGTTAGTAACAAATTTCAGATAAATATCTATAATTGATGCCAGACATATAAGAAAAGAATTTGGTTCCTTCAAGATAGGAATAGCATATATAAAGAATCCAAATATAGAAAAGGAAAATGGACCAGTGAAAAATCTCATATAATATCACATTATACACTGAACTTGACCAAGACCAATATGATGACACTTCAATTCAACAAAATAATATAATTGAAAATGACTCATTTTTTTCCTGAATTATGTGGTTATTGCGCTTCTCCATTCCTGAATCCACATTAGCACCTCAATTATTTTAAAAGTTTCAATTTCCCTACTTTTATGTTAAAAAGATATTTTTACCCTTAAAAATAAAGGTAGAACATGTATTTCATTTATTTTTTTTCCCAATAAATTATTGCTTATACATGGGAATTAGAAAAAATGTTTAAAATAAAAACAGACATCATTTTTTTTTTTTTGAAAGAACATACATAATTTATAAATATTATAGTTATAATTTTAACCTAATGCTAGTAACATTAATATTATAATTATAATTAATCATCATTGATGAATTATTTGTGTTTAAATATTAATTTTGTTAGTAGCATAAACTTAAAATTATAATTATAACATTTGTAAATGGTGGTTGTTCTTTTTTTTTTTTTTTTTTTTTTTTTTTCGCATTTATTCTACTTTTTAATATAAGCATTGACTTGTTAGAAAAGAAAAACAAATAAAATATTTATTTTTACGGATAAAAAGTCCATTTAACAAAAAGAGAGAAAACTTGTTATTTTTAAAATAATTGAGGAGCTATTGTAGATACATGAATAGTTCAGAGGAAAAAAAATGTTAAACCATATAATTCATAGGGAAAAAATGTTAGTTTCTCATAATATAATGTTATTATTATTTTGTTATTAGACACGCCACGAAGTGTCTTGATAGAGTAGGAAATAATATTATAATTTACACTTAAGTGTGAGAATAGAATATTGTCTGCCTAGCTAGTGTTCCTCACTCTTTAAATAGAGAAGTAGCTTCATATCTTAACCAGCATCATCCAAACAAGAAAGAAATCCAAATCAACAACTTTCTTAAAGAAGTAATACTAGTTTTAATATATATTCTAGCCGGCCTATTGATTGATCATATCAATGGGTTTTTCTGATAATGGCAAACTGGGGCATGATGATGAGTATCCATATGAAGACCATATGCGAAGCCAACCGGCGTTCATGGTTGATGGTGGGCAAAGGAAAAGCTCCATGATGACTACCTATCCTAACGCCGAGGGCTTAAACAACTATGTAGTGAAGACCCAAAGGGTTGTTGAGGTTGTGAGGCCTGTGGTCACTCGTCGAGTTCTTATCAATGGTAAGCCCGTGAGGGAGGAAAGAATTGTTGGTGCTTATGAAGATGGTAATGGCGGCCTCAAGGAGAATCTTGATAGACTTGGGAAAGTTAAAGATTTCTTCAACCAAGTTCAGATGGAGGCCAGCATGCAGCCAGGTGCTCCAATTCTTAGCCGTCCAGTTGGTCACAATTTGGGAGCCAACCCTAATTGGCATAGCCAAAATGGTGCCAATTGGGGTAGTAGGGGTTCTTGGATGAGCCATGATGAGTCTCCTCCTAGGCACAACAACAATGGGCATTTTGATCGTCCCAATTGGGGTAGCAGGGCTTCTTGGATGAGCCGTGATGAGTCTCCCCCAAGTCACAACGGTCGACCTTTTGAGCCAAATCGTCCTAATGGAGGTACTAGGTCTACTTACACAACCTATGATGATTCCCCTCCTAGATACCATCAACCTAATGAGGTGAGTCGTCGGAGTTTGGATACTAAGCCTAATTGGTCTAGTCGAAGTGAGTCTCCCCCTCCGCCTGGAATTATGACGCGATCTAGGTTGGTTAGCTATCCCAACTCTGGTACTAGACCCAAGTGGCCAAGTAGTCGAGATGACTCTCCACCTAGACTTATGGCTCATCCAAATTTAGGTGCTAGGCCAAATTGGCCAGTTCGAAATGATTCTCCACCCAAAGCTATGGAGTATTATGAGTCTCACCCCAACTCTAATACTAGGCCTAATCTGACAAAAGCTCGAGATGACTCTCCACCTAAATTTATGGCTCATCCAAACTCAGGTGCTAGGCCAAATTGGCCAATTCGAAATGATTCTCCACCCAGAGCTATGGAGTATTATGAGTCTCACCCCAACTCTAATACTAGACCTAATTGGGGAAAAGCTCGAGATGATTCTCCACCCAAGCCAATTGTGAATCATTTGATGCCTCGTAAGAACCCAGGTGCCAATAAGCCTAATTGGTCTAGTAAGCGAGATCACTCTCCACCTAGATCCATGATGCCTCCAGAATTAAACCATCCAAATTTAGGTACTAGGCCGAATTGGACTATTCAAAATGAATCTCCACCTAGAACCTTTGAGTATTATGAGTCATCCCACCCCAAGTCTAATCTTAGGCCTAATTGGACAAAAGCTCGAGATGATTCTCCACCCAGATCAATAGTGCATCAACCGATGGCTCATCCAAACTCAGATACTACTAAGCCTAATTGGCCTAGCAATCATGATTACTCTCCACCTAAATATGTAGAGAAGGGGAAGGACCAGAGAAATACTAGCCCACTGCACAACAAGCTTGAGAAAGTGACCATTCATGACAGTAGAGGATCAAGCCCAATCCCAAACAAAATGAATGCTGACAATGCAAGGTCTGCAGGTTCCAATAAGGAGAGTACACAGCAAGTTAGGGAGTCTGATCAGAGGCCTAATTGGCCTAACAGGAAAGCCCAAGATGGCAAAGAAGAACATGAGAAGCCTAAATCCAATGATGGAGGGCACATCAAGAAAGGCAATGAAGAGGAGTTTCATGGTTTGGCTAATCCAAAGAGTGCACCAGTTGAGGCCACAACACGTATAACCTCGACTCAAGAGGATTCCTCCAAGAAACCAAGCAAGAATCAGCATGATAATCTCGACGATGGCAACTCCAAGAAGAGTAGCAGCATAACACCAATCTCATACACCAAAGGTGCTGGCAACACCAAGGCTGCAGATTTCAACGGAAGATGGTACAAACAGCCCGGTTCCACTCTCACCAGCGCCACGAGCAACGTGGACGATCTGATGAAAGTCATCGAGGAAGCTAAAAGAACAGGGGCATATCCTACTGCATCAGAGAAGCCACACTGGAGTGAAATCACCCCGATTCCTCCCCAAGGAGTGCGCGTTAGCGGCCCACAATGGAACGAAATCACTCCAAATCCTCCAGTAATTGACAGTATGGAAGCAAGGAGGCGATATACTACTGGGTATCCACAGCCAGTTGCAGCAGCACCTATGGGTATGGGATTTTATGGAGGAGCTCTTAATAGTGAAGATGCTGTGAGGATATATGGTGGCACCTTCCTACCTAACTAATCAGGAAAACTTGCCCACATCCAATTGCTGGCAACTGTGGCTGTGTTATCTCACTTATCTGCATATAGTTTCTAGCTACCAATATGACACTAGTTGCATATGAAAATTAAACCAAAAAGTGTGTGTTTAATCTGTGCTAAGATGTTTTACTGTTTGAGTACTTGATCAAATACTGTGTGATGCTTGAATAAATGTAATGTATTTGTTCTCTCAGGGATATAACCATAGAAAATTGTGTATCCCATGTTCGTGGTCAGGCCGGTCAATAGGGGTTAAAAACCTACAAACGCCGTCTGTGGGGATCGAACCCACGACCACGTGGTTAAAAGCCACGCGCTCTACCACTGAGCTAAGACGGCTGATGACTTTATATATTTATGTGATTATATATAACTGATTTTAAGAACTTTATCAATAATATACTTCGTATCTACTACGTATCATTTATATCAAATCATATATATATATATATATATATATATATATATATATATATAGGAGGTCATAGGAGACGGACTAGGTGAGAACTAACTGTTTAGGAGAGAATTGAGAATTAATAGCTGTTGTTTATGTGTCAGATCTAACAGATCAAAAGCACTATATTTTTTTTAACGCGGTGGTATATATTTTTTTAAATAATTGAACTTCTTGAAGTGTAAAATAAATTGTGTTTAAAAGTCCAAGTAATAGTTTCATATAGTGCACCTAAGTGAAAGTAAATAATTGATAAGTGGGTGCCACGGCTGCAATTAGTTCTTAGTTCTTTCCTGGACAATCATTGTATATGAAATTGCATAATAGGACTAATATTTTTATACATTTTGATTTCTTGAAAAGAAATAAACCCTGCAATACTAACAGGGCGTTTGGTTGGAACGAGAGAATTACGTGGGAAAAGAATTGCAATTTCATGGGAAATGAATTACTAGGAATAAAGTGAGAATTTAAATTTTAGTGTTTCGTTTATGGGAATAGAATTACTAGGAATTTTAATTCCAATGTTTGGTATACATAAGAATTGAAAGGGAATAAGTAGTATAAAGTCTAAAATGCCAATTATTGTTGTGGTATTAATTTTAGGTTAAAAAAAATAGGGATAATTTTGTCTCATCACTAGTTTTTTTTTTCTTCCTGAAATCCCAAGAATTAAAATACCAGGGGGACATGAGATTTTAATTCCATGAAAATGAGGGAATTGCAATTCCTTCCAACCAAACTAAGGAATTTCATGGCCTTTGGAATTAAGTGGGAAGGAAATTTAAACTCCCTCCAACCAAACGCCTTGTAATAGTTTTTTTTTTTTTTTTTTTTTTTTTTTTTTTTTTTTTTTTTAACACGGTGATATTTTCGTAAATAATTGACATGTAAATGATTGCAATTGGTTTTTAGTTCTCTCCCGAGTGTATATGAAATTTCATAATAGGACTAATATTTGTTTATACATTTTGATTTCTTGATAAGAAATAAACCTTACAATACTGATTGTTTTTTTTTTTTTTTCTTTTTCCCTATGAAAGAACTTTGCATAGGGAAGCATATGTTTGTTACTCACGTAGAGGCACTATAAATATGAAAAATACAACGTACAAAGAATATTGAGGATTTCCTGAATATTTTATTTTCCTTAGAGATGATATCTTTCCTAAGAATAGACATATAAATATATATAGAGATCATGCAAATATATGAAAATACATATAAAGATATTTCGTAACATATCTTCCTTGATTTCATTAATACTCTATCTCAAGTTAGAGCATGAAGATCGAATGCCCAACTTGTAAAGAATGCTCTTAAACTGATGTCAATTGAGACCCTTGGTGAAAATGTCTGCAAGTTGGTTTGTAGTGCGAATGTGAATAAAAATAATGACACCAGTTCAGATTTGCTCTCGCACTAAGTGACAATCAATGTTGATATGCTTGGTGCACTCGTGAAAATTGTGAAGCGCAGCTTGATTATCACAAAATAGACGTATTGGTTATATATGTAATACGCCAAGGGACTTCAAGAATGCTTTCAACCATATTAATTCACAAGTAGTGATTGCCATGAAACGATACTCTGCCTCAACAGATGATCGAGACACAATATGTTGCTTCTTTATTTTCTACGAGATAAGCGAACCACCTAAAAATATAAAGTATCCCAAAAGAGAATGACGAGTGAGTGGACATGTAGCCAATCAAAATCACAATAGGCAACAAGTTGTAGAGGATTATTTCTAAGAAAATACCTTGGCCTAGGTGTCCTTTGAGATACTGTATAATAAAATAAACTATTATTTTAAGCTCCTCGTGTGTTTTACCAACCAAACTCATGTTTTCCAGACCATGCTATTAGCAACTTTAAACTCGAGTACTATAACATTGACATGGGCTCTATCTTTATTACTAAACAACTACAATGTGTTGGAACAGATCCAAGATGATCTAGACATCCATGTTAGAAAAGAAAGATGCGTTGATGAATTTGACCTAAATCACTTATTTACCTAGAAGCTGTCATTAAAGAAACATTGCGTCTATATTCGTTAGCCCCGCTCATCATGTGATGGCTACAACATCCAAAAGGGCACTTGAATAGTGGTAAATGTTCCAAGAGTCATCATGATCAAATTGTGTGGGAGAAGCCTAATGACTTCAGGCCCGAGAGATTTTTAAGTAACCACAAAGGCATTGATGTTAGGAGTAATAGTTTTGAGTTGATTCCATTTAGTACATAGTGGACGAAGAATGTGCCCAGATTATCTTTTGACTTACCTACGTACCTTATTAGCTAGGACTAGGATGCCACAAACTCCTTTATCGCAATACAAAACTCTTTAGCTTTCAATGAATCAGCAATCTCAAGGCCGGGATGGCCTCCCTCAATAATCCTGCCCACCACTTCCACACCTGCGTCTCGCAACGCATTCAAAATCTCAACTTGGCGGTCAACCAGCAGATCCCCACCGCAACCCCACACCAGAATCTTCACCCCCAGAGCTTTCACCTCATCAAACATGCCGGGATTTGACCGGATCTCCGCCATGGCATTGCAGTAAACGTGATCTCGGTCAACGCCGGCCGGAAGTGCCATATCCCACATCAGATCAAGTTGGCGCAAAGAAAATAGCTTATCATCCACCGATCTTAGTTCCGATGCGGTCCTCTCTTTCCCCCGAAATATGGGTGGTGTAATATCAGCCCTCTCATCTCTAATGGTTTCAACTCCGTACAAATCGATGATGCGCTTAGACCCACGCGGTAGGCTATGTTGCCACCGGCGCTTGTGCCCATCAGAAAACATCTGGAAAAGTCAGCGTATTTTGTGAGCCACTCATCGTCGCTGTTCTTTATCCAATACAGTGCTTCCATGCAGTCATCGTAGGCCGCCGGCAACTGGTGCTCCGGCGCGCGGCGGTACTCAACGGAAACCACCACCGTAGATGTTTCAGTGGCGATATGGCGATAAAAATCTTGAAAGTAAGGCGTGTCCACTGTACTCACGATAAATCCTGCACCGTGAAAATAGACTATGAGAGGCAGCTTGAATAGAGGCCGAGAATCAACAGCTTTTCTGGGTAAGATAATTCGAGCCCAAATGCTTTTGGATTGGTTGATGGAGATGTCCTTTGCGAGGACTAAAGAAGGATCAATGGCGGGTGTTAGCTCGAAGGTAGAATGAAGTTCCCATTGACGTGTGATTGAACCGTCTGGGTTGCATTCAAAGCCTAACATCCCATGCATAGATCTCAGCATCTTTGGGATCCATGGCTACAATTTGATGTGTGGAAATTGGCTAAGTTTAACACAAGATGTTGGACTTCTTATATGGCTATCTAGTGTATATATATATAGGTTTTGCTTTCTTTTACGATTTTTAAATTACATCCACTTAATCTCCAATTACAAATTCAGTTTGTTGCTTCTTTGAAGATTCAGAGAGGATAAGTACAAATTGTATATCAGAAAGCGGCTAGGAATAATCCATCATACTGTTTATATCATTCTAGAAGTATTTGACAAGTTTGAGGAGTATGCATACAATTTATAAACAGTACTGACTGATTTAGCTCGCTACTGGCGGATAAGGGCGGCCAAGTCTTCCCTTTTTGGCAAATTATGTTGTGCAACTGTGTGCACCTGCATGATGCATACAAAATTAAATTTATAATTTATATACTATAAATTCATAATTTCTATACTATAGATTCATAATTATGGAACTCTATATTCACAATAACAAAACTCTATGTTCATATTCTCAATTGTTGAACTCTGTATTCACAAATCACTAAACTATATGTTCATAATTTGATAACTATACTGTTTAGAAATTATAAATCTATAATATAGAAATTATGAATCTACAGTTTAGAAATAATGAAGCTACAGTATAGAAATATAAACCTAGAGGAAATCTCTGAAAAATCTCATCTTATTATCACCTCTAGGTTCGACACCTAGTCGGCCGCACCACCCCGACTACCTGCTGAGGGGTGAGCAACAAGGCCTAAACCCGACGCCCCAGCGAGGAGCCTGGCTACTTGGTCCGACCAGTATTCTGAGTAGAGTAGTCAAGCTACAAGTCCTAAGTGCATGGACATGCTCCTGACGGGGTACCCTACTCAGGAGTGTCCAATCACAGTGGATCCTGGCCTTCTATACCGTTGTAAGTGCTACTTGAAATGCTTGGAGGGAAATCTTCTATCTCATATTTAGGACGGTAGATGCGATCTGTGGCTTGTTGATGAAAATAAGGGTGTGTTTGATTCGTATAAAGGAATCGAAATCAAAATGGAAATCATATATTTGGTAATAGTATGAGTTTTAGTAAAAGTATTTTGCATGTTTGGTAGTAGGGTGGAATTGAAATGATTACAAATATTGATGTTTTGTTATGTATGAGCCTATAATGAGAATAAAGGTTTAAAATTTTCAAAAATAAAAAATTAAAACAATTGATTCTAATATAATGACATACAAAGCACCAGAACAAAAAAAAATCAAAACAAAAATCTAAAATCATTAATCCAAACATAAAAATAAGAGTTAATTACCGAAATGGTCCCTTAACTATAGCGAAATTACCAATTTGGTCATTAACTATTTTTTTGACCAATTAAGTCCCTCAACTTTAAAAATCTTAACCAATTTGATCCTCTGTTTGTTTGACCGTTAGTCAACCGTTAACTTGGGACCAAATTGGTATCGCTATAGTCAAGGGACCATTTTGATAACTAACTTTAAGGGTGGACAATTCGGTTCAGTTTTCTCGAACCGAACCGTACCAAACTAGTTAGATTTAGTAATATACCGAACAACCAAACAGTAATAGATTCTTGTATACCAAACAGTTCGGTAAAAACTCGAACCGAACTGAATTGTTCGGTAAAAACCGAACCGAACCAAATACCATTTGAACTTTAGATTGCCATTTTGTTATATATTAGACTTTGGATATGGACTATGTAAACAACATAACACATAATATAATATAGAACTTTTGATAACAAACCATAATGAAATGAAATAAAGCATTTACGAGAGATACCTGTGAGAGTATGAGCTCAACGGCAGAGCAAGCAGCAAGGGACTTGGATTTACTTTTTATTTATATATTTAGAACCGAAACCCGATATTTAGAGTTTATTAAAATCGCGAACCGGAACAATCGGTTCATGTTTCGAACTGAAAAAAATAAAATACATTTATTGTTGAATTTAGACTATTTTAAAAATAAAAAATAAAATTTTAAAATAAGGTTTGAACCGTACCAGCAATTCAAACTGGATTTAGAACCGTAAATCGATGGTTCAAATCAAAATCAAATCGCGGTCATATATACTTATATGTAAGAATTAGAATAAATGTAAAAGAGAACATATACTATTTGTAGATATTATAATTCTAATTTTAAACTAATGCTAGTAGATGTTCCCATTCGAACCGCCGGTTCACGGTTTATGATTTAATTTTTTCGATTCATGATTTTAATAAACTGAAATTCAAATATTGGGTTCTGGATCTGAATCATAACCGGAAACTTTCAATTTGATTGCTATAGTGCCCAGTTCAGTTCGAACCGAATCGTGGTCATTACTATGTATAAGCAATAATTTATTGGAGGAGAAAAATAAATAAAATGTTTACTTTAAAGGTAAAAATGTCAATTTAATATATCAGAACATGAATAATTTAGGAGAAAAATGTGCTATATACATATAATTTTGAGAGAAAAAATATCATTTTCCCTATATATATCATGCTCAATAGTCTCAACATCTAGTCGACTAGTTGGTGGCTTTATCTTGAGAAAATATGCCAATTACCTTATAAAATAATTCAATGGCCAATCATAATTGGTGAGTAGATTAAATGCATTTAGTCAATGTCTTTTGCCTATTGAGACTGGGAGATGTCTTTTGCCTATTGAGACTTTTGGGAGATGTCTTTTGCTTATTGAGATAGGGATGGCAACGGAGCGGGGCGAGGATATACTCCCCATCCCTATTCCCGTCCCTGTCCCCGTTCCTGGCGGGGAATCACATATATTCTCCATTCTCGTTCTCGTTTTTCAAATTTTTTTTCCATTCTCGTCTCTATCGAGACGGGGTACATTGTCATCCCTATATTGAGACTTTTGTGTATCAGTATGATATTTTTAGAGTTTGACAAGTGATAGGTTAGTGTTCTTTAATTTAAAAGAAATATTCAAATACTAATTTATTATAAGGCAAAATTTAATATAAGGTAGAATATATATACTTTATTACGGAATATAATAAGAGATGGTTAGAATGTCATATAATATTTTAAAAATGTATTTATTTATTTTACATTATATACATTTTATAAATAATATAATTATTCAACATGGGGAGTGACATGTGACATACTAGTTGAAGTAATATTACAAAGCCGACTTTATTTATATTATTTTCAATATTCTTGACCACCAAAGGCAGCTACAGTCGGTGAAGATTGAACTGGTGAAAATAGGTTTCGACGGAACAAATTATGATGCTACAAACTCCTTTATCGCAATACACAACTCTTTAGCTTTCAATGGATCGGCAATTTCAAGGCCATGGTGGCCTCCCTCAATAATCCTGCCCACCACTTCCACGCCGGCGTCTCTCAAAGCATTCAAAACCTCAACTTGGCGGTCAACCAATGGATCCCCACCGCAACCCGACACCATAATCTTCAACCCCAGAGGTTTCACCTGATCAAACATGCCGGGATTTGACCGGATCTCCACCACCGCATTGCAGTAAACGTGATCTCGGTCAGCGCCGGCCGGAAGTGCCGTCTCCCACATCAGATCATTTAGGCGCAAAGGAAAAAGCTTGTCATCCACCGATCTTAGTTCCGATGCGGTCCTCTCTTTCCCTCCGAAATATGGGTGGTGTAATATCAGCCCTCTGATCTCTAATGGCTTCAGCTCCGTACTAAACGATGATGCGCTTATACCCACCCGGTAGGCTATGTTGCCACCGGCGCTTGTGCCCATCAGAAAACATCTAGAAAAGTCAACGTATTTTGCGAGCCACTCATCGTCGCTGTTCTTTATCCAATACAGTGCTTCCATACAATCATAGTAGGCCGCCGGTAACCGGTGCTCCGGCGCGCGGCGGTACTCAACGGAGATTACCACCGCAGATACTTCAGTGGCGATATGGCGATAGAAATCTTGAAAGTTGGGCGTGTCGACTTTACACACCATGAATCCTCCACCGTGAAAGTAGACTATGAGGGGCAGCTTGGATAGAGGCTGAGAATCAACAGCGTTTCTGGGTAAGATAATTCGAGCCCAAATGCTTTTGGATTGGTTGATGGAGATGTCCTTTGCGAGGACTAAGGAAGGATCAATGGCGGATGTCGGCTCGAAGGTGGAAGGAAGTTCTCGTTGACGTGTGATTGAACCGTCTGGGTTGCATTCAAAGCCTAACATGCCATAGATCTCAACATCTTTGGGATCCATGGCTACAATAATTCAGAGTAGAGAAATTGGGTAAGTTTGAAGACAAGATGTTGAACTCCAGTCTCTAGATAGTGTGAATGAGCAATTGAGCATTATCGTTTTTATAAGTTTTAATTTACGTCAACTTCATCTCTAATTAAAAATTCAACTTCTGGCTTCCATGAAGTTTCGTAGAGAATTAATATATATTTTGTGATGACTGTTTACCAGAAGGTGCCATAGGATTAGTCCAACAAAATTTTTCCTCTCATTCTAGAACTGTTTGACAAGTCTGACAAGTAGGTTGCTTAATTTGATTTAACGTAGTGATCAATCATCACTTTTTATTGAAAAATTATTATATTCTTAGTTGAAGCCATATATATATATATATATATATATATATATATATATATATATATATATATATATATATATATGGAAGGGATCCGGTGCATTGGAACCTTTCCGTGGGATTGTTCAAGTGAACGCACGATAAGCATTAACCTGACGCAATTAAAGTACACAACACACGCACATTAAGCACACAAACTCCACGCATGTTAAGCACTAGCCTCACACATGTTAAGTACAAGTCTTACGCATGTTAAGTACAAGCCTCACGCATGTTAATCACAAAAATATATGCACCTTAAGTTTTAAAAAACAACTCACATTAAGTACGCACTCACGCACATTAAGTACAAAACTCATGCACCTTAAGCACACGACTCACGCACATTAAGCAAAAAACTCACGCACCTTAAGCACACGACTCACGCACATTAAACAAAAAACTCACGCACATTAAGCATAAAACTTATGCACATTAAGCATAAAACTCATGCACTTTAAAGTTTCAATAACAACTCACATTAAGTACAGACTCACGCACATTAAGCACAAAGCTCACGCACCTTAGGCACAATACTCACACACCTTAAGTACAAAACTCACGCACATTAACATTACACATTCACGCACATTAAGTACAAATCTCAGGCACATTAAGTACAAAACTTACGCACATTCCTTCCTTCCAACCAAACGCTTTGTTAATGTTTGTGTATTTGTTGTTGTCTTTTAAATACTTATTCTTTTTGGGCAGAAGTGTCAAATAGACTAATTTACTACTCAGAACTTAGAAGTGCATGCTCAATTATATCTAAAATAAGAGCTACTTTGATACATAAACTTCTTAAAATTATGCATTTACCAAATAAATTTTTTTGACTTGGCATCCAATAAATAATTTATTTTTTAAATGCAAAAACTTTAGGAATATATGTATCAAATTAGCTCATATTTAGATGAATGGCTAAATTGAGCACTTGTACCTAATAGATAGATGGGTCAATTTGACCAGTTTTGCCTTCTATTTTTATTCATCAACTTAATTAACCAAACATTATAAAATAATTTTTTGAAGTCTATTTGTTTAACAAATTAAATAATCATTTCTTCCATTTATTATGAAATGAAATGAGATTTCAATTCCCCGAAATATCATTCCATGAACCAAACATATATTCTAAAAAATGAAAATATGTTTATTGAATCATTTTGAAGTATAATATAGTGGAGAGCATAATATTTGCAGCTTCCATAAATGAGATGACAGTGGCATCTAAAGCAATTCCACATCCTACTCTCAAAATTGCATGTCAAATATTCTAAAATATTATACAAGTGATGCTACATTATTCTACTAAATTTAATTTTTAATACTCGCATCATAACATGGCATTACTTAATTATTTTTCATATTAAATGTATTGTTTTTATATTAAAAACTCTTTTTTCAATAGTTTTGTCTGACTTTGGATATGATCTGTCACTCTCTGGTCCAATTGCTGCTGAACTTATTCAACCTTTTTTTTTTTTTTGAATGGTAACTTATTCAACTTAATACAACTACTATTTTCAAAAAAAAAAAAAACTTAATACAACTACTAATGCTACTATATTCCTAACTCCTAACTAGCTCTAGTACTAATGCAGATTTTTATAGACCGGAATTTACAAAATCATTTTATGGAGATAAAAATAATGTATGTACAGGTCTTTTTTTGAAAAATCAATCTGTCGATTGTATTAATTGATGAAAGTTATAATAGCGTCAAGAGGGATAGAATCCCAATACATAGAATGTTCTTGAGTAAAAGCTAACGAAGCTAAAGTATGCGCATGTAAATTAAACTGTCTAGGCACATAGCTTAATGAAATAGAACTAAATAAATACATCATTGTCTTGCACTGATCAATTACTAACCCAGTGTACGAGTGAACGGGTGTAGTTTGGTGATGTATAGCGGATCGCAGAACCATACAATCCGTGAGCAGATCGGCTGAATTAATACTCCTTTCTACTAACCAGGACAGTGCCTCTTTAAAAGCCATAGCCTCCGCCATGAGGGGTGAAAAACAAACGGGTGATCTGCCATTCTTAGCTGCCACAAACGAGCCACCGGGCTCTAATAACACAATTCCATACGTAGTCTCCCCGGTTTCCTGCCGAAACCCCGCATCTATATAGCATCGCATGTGATTGCCAGGCACCACCGGTTCGGATTGTGCCCGTAAACCATCTCTCGCGGTACGACCGTGTATTGCACCATAAGCATTCAACAAGGTTGCCGCCCCCTTCACCACAGCCTGCGGTCGTGTCATGGCACCTTCCCACACTGCCGAATTGCGGCTTCTCCAAATATTGTATAGAACACCCACCAACAGTTGTGTTTGTTCCTCTGTTAAAATTGCCATAGCCCCGGTTAACCATTCCGTAAATGAATCTGTAATAATATTCATGATAGGTAATTGTGTTATATTCCAAACTAGTACAGAATATTCACAATAAACTAATGCATGCAAAACATCTTCATTATTAAATCTGCACATAGGGCATGTCGGGTCAATCTCCACCCTCTTATTAATTAGATTTGTGGTAGTGGGTAAAATATCACATACTGCTCTCCACACAAAAATCTTCCATTTTGGTGGTACTTTCAATTTCCACATCTTAACTCATTTATCAAAATCACATGGGTTATTCTCATAATCACCAACAATACGCCTGTAGGCATTCTTTACTGAATAAATCCCTTTTAGATCACCTATCCAGTACCATGAGTCATCATAATCAGGGCTAACAGGAATCATGATTATTCTGCTCACATCCTCTGGGATAAATAAATCAGATAAAATATGTGGATCCCATGTTTGTGTTTGTGGATCAATCAAACCTGCTACTCATGCCTCTCTTAACTCCTCAGACATAATTGTTTGTATCAAGGGACTTGGATTATCCTGGAGCTATGGATGTCCCCAAATAAGAGTTGTCTCCCCATTTCCAATTCTACGTCTTATCCCAACTACCACTATTGGATGTGCTGCCATAATACTTCTCCAACAAATATTTGGGCAATTACCAATAGTTGCATCAACAAAACTAGAAGTGGGGTAATACCTGGCTTTATAAATCCTTGCCACCAGAGACTCTGGGTTTGTCAAAAAACACCATGCCTGCTTGCCCGGCATAGCTAAATTAAAAGCCCTCAACTCCTAGAAACCCAAACCACCAAACTTCTTGGGGATACATAACTTATCACATGCTTTCCAATGAATCCCCTTATCTCTGCCACTTCCCCACCAGTATCTATTCATGGCCCTCTCAATGGATTGACAAACTGTTTCAGGTAACAAAAAAACACTCATTGAAAAGGTTGACATAGATTGAGCCACACTTTTCAATAAAACTTCCTTACCAGCCTGAGACAACAATTTTGTGTTCCACGATCCAATCCTCTGCCTAATTTTTTCCTCCACATAGGAAAAAACTGCTCTTTTATTTCTGCCCACAAACGATGGGAGGCCCAGACATTTCCCAAAATTACTTACCTGCACTACCTCAAGACAGTTCGCCACCTGTGTTCTGACCATGTGTTGCGTATTACGGTTAAAACATATATTTGACTTGTTATAATTCACAGCCTGTCCTGATAGTTTCTCATATCTCATCAAACATTCTTTAATCACAGTAGCCTCATGGATGTTTGCTTTAAAGAAAAGTAGGCTGTCAACCGCAAAGAATAAATGAGACACCGGGGGAGCACCCCTGACCACTCTACATCCATGAATAGATCATGCCATCTGTTCTTTCTGCAACAACATCGAAAGCGCCGATACTACAAAAAAGGGCTTTAACGTCGGTTTTTTGACCCCATTTAACGTCGGTTTTCGACCGACGTCTAGGTAGAAGACGTCGTAAATAATGAGATACGACGTCGGTTGAAAAAACCGACGTCGTATAATTTTTAAATTTTTAATATTAACATACGACGTCGGTTATTAAGTAATAACCGACGTCGTAAAATTTTTAAAATTATTTTTAATTAAGAAACGACGTCGGTTTTTTAAAAAACCGACGCCGTATATTTAAAAAAAAAAACAAAATAAATACATATAAGACGTCAGTTTTTAACAAAAAACCGACGTCTTATGTGAACTTAAAAAATAAAAAAAATAAAAGCCCTTTTTTAACGATTTTCCACCCAATTAATCCAGTATAGCTTTTACAAATTCACCACCCAATTAATCCTGTATAGCTTTTACAATTCACAACAATTTTCTTAACCTGTCCAGCAATTTGATATTCAAAATCTCATAATTAATCAAAACTAATAAATCTTATAATTAATTCAAAAGCAACTCATATCATCAACTAAATAAGTTAAATTTATGATAATTCTACAATTAATAATAATAATAATAATTTCAAACTTAAATTATCTACATCAACTAAACTTCATCAATAAAAGACTTACACCATAACTTCATCAATCTCTTGTTGAGTGTAGGACAAACATCCTTGTCTCTCCAACATGAATTTCATAATAACATAATAATCACATTCGATAATTCCTCTTTGTATGACACACTACAAATGAATTAGAATATAATTACATTTTTTTTTTTTACTAAAAAACAATAAGATAAATGTAGTTTTACAAAATATATGAAATACTTACCGAACATATACTCCATTTTAGGGAACGATTTGGTTTCTTTCTAATCAAGAAGCTTGTTGCATGGATACACCTATTAATATAAAACATAAAA